TTGAAAACCCAATCAAGGTTGCCTTCATCGGTATAGAGTTTCATGCCCCAACCATGAACATCTCGAGAAGTATCAGCCGAGCCTGCTTCGGGACCAACAGTAGAGACACGAAGTAAAACAGGGGTTTTTTTGCCAACTTCACTGAGAAAACTGGCACATGTCAGATCAGAGCAATCGGCTGTGGCTTCGAATTCTCCGTAGGCGCTTTGAATGGGAATGTTGATTAGAACTTGATCTGCGAAGAAACTTCTTTGAGCCTTACCCAACAGCTTTGGCATGAACAACACTTTCAATCCCCTACAGTGTCAGCCAATACACGAAACTTCTTATAATGGCGACTTACCGCTCCGGAATCCTCTCCCGCGAGAAATGCGCCAATGTCTCGATGAGCTGCGTATCTTGGAGGAGTCCGAGACCCCCTCCATCTCTGTTTCGCATAAGCACTGCTGTGCTATTGCTTGCAAAGGGGCATCCTTTTTGTCTTGGTGAGCTAGGAAAATGAAGGAAATTCAGGCTATTCTTTATTATTTGCTTCACTCACCTTCAGCAAGGGTATAATATTTGTCTGCGGACATGATAAGATGTGAGTTGATAAAGCTTCTGCAATTGAAGATTCATTGAACTTGAACATTAAACGTGGGCTCTTGTTTAAAATTTATAGGCGTCATAAACATACAGAGCCTTTTAAGCTTTCCTCCCCAAAATCAGCAGCTGGTGGGTTAGCTGAGTGGTTACCATAATCACTCCATGTGTTAGATGTCTTACGTCATTTACCGTTCGTAAAACAGAAGGCCATCCAGAGCGGATAATTGGAAATGAAATTCAAACCATTGGTCTTCGTTGAAAACCCAGCGGGACTTGGTTCCGTGTCCCCAGATCTAGGTCTTGAATTCGAATGTTAGCTCAATGATCCATGGCCATGATGAGAGTGTCCCCACATACCCGATAAATCCATGCAAAGCCATAGATGGATAGGCGTTCTTTAGATATTATCTGGTATCTATACCGTGGATTGGGATCCATAATTATAGTGGAAAGCTAGTTATCCTACTTCAGCGCCACCGTCCTCATGAATTGTTAGATTTCTTTTTGATGTTGCAAGGCTGCATTACCGGCGAATCAAAGCGACCGGGATAAAAAGAAGTCCAGAGAACAAAATTTACATATGGTATGTATAAATAAAGATCATTGGACAAATGCTATTTCCAAACTGAGATTCTATTTCTTATTCATCCTCAAGTCTTGCAGTTTGTGGAGTCGGTTGTCTAAAAAGGAAGGCTCTTTTCATGGATAAAGGTTTTTTTTATTATTAAATCTCTCTGCCACGGGTGGTAATATTGCGTTGTAATAATTAATTTCCTTCCGAGTTTTCGTACATTTCAGCTTCTATATTTGAGATTTCGTCATTCCTGTTCAGTGCATTCGTAAGAAGACAAGCTTCTCTTTTCTCTGACGACTATGTATTTGATATTTGCAACAAATTACGTGGGCATTGAGTTCGTAGAATTGAATTCAGAAGTATCTTTGAAGTGACTGACTGGTCAAAGCTTTTTATACATAAATATGAAAAAGATTTCTTGGGAGGAAACCGGTAATACCGGCTTTGAAAGTTCGCTCGGTTCAAGGGATACTTTACGGTAGTATAGTAACATGGATAAAGTTAACTTTTTGATCAAAAAACTAAATTGGATTTTTACTATAGATGTCAACTTGTCGTCGACGTCATTGTATCGATGCCCGCCCATATCTACCCGGCCTCAAAATATAAGGAGGTGCGTACACCAACGGGAAGGAAGTGAATGGTTCTAGACTTCAACCTTTGACCCAGTCTTTTAGTCACGAAAATCCTCGTTTTCAATAACAGAAACAAAAAACGGAAAGACTGTAGACTGCCTTGCTATGTCTGAAAGTCCGTCCGTATAGTCCAATTCTGAAATACACGGAATTAACGATAACCCAGACTTCCATGAGAATCCAAATCGAGAAAAATCTAAGATCAAAAGGCTTTTAGGTCACTTTTCTCGAAGTCATCCTTCTCGTTCTCCTAAAGAAAGTGACTCGCATAGCAGCCCGGCAGAACCCAAGACATATGAAGACTACTTGAAAAGAGACGAAGAAAATTTGGAAGAGTACTACAAAGAGGAGGAAGAGGAAAATACGAAGGAGAATAAGTATAGTAAAGCTGAATCAAGGAACCGTGGAGATGTAATCGACAACCAAATATGAGTACTGCTGTCCGGGTCGCAAGTTATGAAAAGCACAAGTTCAAATTTACCCTTTCCTTTGATGGGTATGAATCGAAAATTTAAACTTCAGTTGTATCTTAATGAGTGTAAATGATGTACAGGTTACTTGGTCAACTATACGGAGAGCAGAACGGAATTTATCATGTACTCATGAATCATCAAATCAAAGTTCACTCAACTCAATTCAAGCCGGCGGGGCCATAAATTGGTACCAAAGAAATTAATGTAAAAGCAATTTCTTTTAAATAGCGCCTCATACATGATGCAATGATGCTAGAGCTTGACATCGTACTTTTAATGCTTCGTTCTTGTTCACTCAAATATATATATATATATTCTTCGACGAAGCGCAGTTGCGTTTCGACGAAAAATATTCCGATTCTCATTGGCAAGTGATCATTAGAAAACATAGAAGCAACATGGCCCAGTCTCAACGTAAGTTGATATTTTCCTAAACTTTTTGGTTTTCTTGACTAAATATTTCCAGAAACTGAATCCAGCCAGCCGCACCACGAAGGCATTATGGAAAGAATTTTTGAACATCACGGTCAACATCACCAACATGGTGATGAGAAGAAGCAGGATTTGCCGACAGAAACAAAACCGGATACGACGCATAAAGAAAGTGAGAAAGATAAATATTTGAACTGGTATCACAAGGAGGAGGAAGAGGAGGAAGAAGGAGATACGTACGGTGGTCTGATGTAGGATCTTCAGAATCTCGAATGTATTGTGACGCTTATTGTATATTGCAATACTCTAGTTAATGACTCCCTGTGACATGTGCCTTACTTGAATATCTATCCCTCAAAACTGAGGGATAGATATTCAAGTAACCCGGCCTACACCGGAAAAGCTCACGTGCACCCCCCAATTTCATCTATCCTACTACGCGAGCTTCTCTCTTATATCCAGCTTTATTACTTTGTCTAATATTACGCCATAAGTGCAAGTACCTGGTAAATGGGCCACGTGACCAGTTGGCAACGCGAGACAGCTGGTAACTTTGCGATAAAACATACCTCTGAACTTCAACAGGATAGACGATTCATTAGTCTTGTACTCGTCTCTCACAACCTTGGCTCTTTTCGGGCTTTGAAGGGTCATGATAGAGACCGCCTCTATGTATTATAGTTGCTGGCTCGAAGGTGAAAAGGAGCCGCTCATTATTCCTCTTTTGGGACATAGAGGGTGGCTATGCGCAGGTGCCAAGTAGACTAGTGCTTCTCCACTTCAACCTGGACGGTCAAAAGCGTGATCCTTGCATGACAAGTATGATTCTCACCCGGTGTCACCCCGCTCTCGCCCTGTCTATTGCGCACTCACCCTATATCACACCGGTCGCATGATCTCAAAGCGGCGCTCTCTAAACTGGATTTATTGATTGATTACACATGTAAGTATATGGAGCAGTAACAAGATATACTAAATACATACGACCACAGGGTGTGGAGAACAGGGCTTCCCGTCCGCTCAGCCGTACTTAAGCCACGCGCAAAATGGTCAGGCTAGCCAATAGTTAGTCTAGCCTGGTGGGGAAATAGCTGAACGCCGCTTTTCTGCCGCGCGACCTAGGGTGATAAGTGTGAGTGCTTGACGAGAAACTGGGAACTTGGGTGATAATATCACCCCCGGACGCGCGACTGCTGCGCGGGCTTCTCCAGCCAGATAGCAAAATGAAGAGTGATTGGCCTTTAGTACCTCTGCCAAGCTGTCCGATCTAAAGCTCTCCTTGCTCTAGAAATAGCCTCTTTCCATGATATGTGAGGATTAATTCCAAGAGTATACTGTTCTGGGAGTTAGAATGGGGCTACTTAAAGTGTCTGATTAGTCGTCATTAATATCAGGTGGGGAAAGTTGACTGATTAGAGGTGTTTATAATAAAGCAAGGATACATAGCAAAGAAAGCTTGATTCTTGACACCTTTCATCTTCACTTGCCTCAATCTTGTTATACCTCGTGTAGTTTTTAGTGCTTTGTGCTATCAATTACGGGGATTTGACACGCGAACATAACTCAGAAGTTGTTTAGGATATATATAAATTAAATGCGTTTGTTCTGTTGAGGAATCAGCCTCAGTTATCACTATTAACCGTACGACACCACTATGACAGACTATTTCCTGGTATCCACATGTAGGACTGTTTTATATTACTTCATTCTGTGCGCTCACTGTTCACCCCAAAATTGATGAAAGGGCCCATTTTTTTCCCGAGCTTTCAACGCCCGTTGATATACTGCGTCTGCCTCTTTTAATTTCTCTTAGGTATTAGCCACTGAGCTAAGGTTGCGGATATCCGGACTATATTAATCTGTGGAGACTCCCTCTGTGCTTCGACTTAGCGCGTTATTTGTTAGTTCAATCTCCTCTAGCCTAAGCACTGTCGGTGGGCTTGTTAGGGAACTATGCTTTATGTTTTTGATTCTTTGATTGAGCAAAGACCGCAAGTTAATATCGAACTTAACCATAGAGATGCTGTCGAGCCCTGGATTGTAAGAGCTGATCTGAGAGCTAATCTGAGAGCCAAATAAACCCTTGAGTGGGTCTTAGTGGGAGTTCTTTGTTTGTTATTGGCACGGAACTTTGTACAGTAAACAAAGAGAGCACTAGGCCTAGGGTAGAAAAAAGGAAAATGTCACCTTTATAATTGTACGCCCTCACTCATTCTCCGATAATTAAATTCTCAACTATCACCAAGCCTTGTCGAAGTCTTCACACAGAGTGTACATTTTAGTTCCAGTCTCCTATCCGCAATGTCGAAGAACAAGATTTCTCGTATACTCTTGTCTGCGAAGGATAAAAAGGGAGAAAGTTCACTTGTTGCAGAGCCCGCCAAAGAAGTGCGGCGCAATGTCTCTGTTGCTTGTACTGAGTGCCAGAAAAAGAAAATCGTCTTCCCCAGGTTACAGTACCCAAGTCAACTAGAAGGGCTGACTTTGGGGATTGGTACTGCCGTCTTTGGTGCTCCCATGAGAGGTCGGAGTACTCAGGTGGGCGATCCTCGGACGAGAGACATTGCACACGCCATACGTTCATCCTCGTCTCATTTCTCCGAAATTTCGGAGCACGTAAACCAGGTTTTGATACCGCTTTGCTATGGAGATATATGAAATATGAGAGCATGATTTTATCTTTATGGCGGTTTCAATACTATCCTACACCAAAAAAGCGTAATTTAAAGAAGGGTATAAAACGTAATGAGAGAATAATATCATCACGCTGGTTCGCGACTAATTAGATAACATGAAGCTCCTTCATGTTCATAGTTTGTTCTTCGGCCTTCTTTAAATAGTCCTTCCTCAAAAGATTGCCAAGTAGGGGTGTATAGTCGAAGATCCAGTCACGAAGCTTTGCTACTGGCCAGGGCAACGAATGAAACACATGTCCACTGAAACGAGCAAACTCCATGTTGTGGTTTACATATTCCACACGCTGTTTTTCGAAGACTTCAAAACCTGCGTTGACGGCCGAACTATCACGAAGGTTGACGCCGTCTAGCGATTTAGCTAGGAAATAGCCATCTTCGATGGCCATCCCTAGCCCGTAGGCAGCATAGGGCGACACAGGTTGGATAGCGTCACCAATGCACATGATGCGTCCAGTTGACCATTTTTTCATGGAAGTTCGGTTAATAATTTCCCATCGATACACCTGGGTATCAAAGTTGGTAGCCTCAAGTAGACGAGGTAAGGGTTGTGTCCAATCCTTAAGGATGTTTGCCAGATATGCTTGAGGGTCTATTGGCACGGGTTTGCCTTCCCAGGACGACTCCACAATCCACCACTCAAATCCTGGTTTACCTTCGTGAAGCATGGGGAAATAGCTGGCTTGGTACTGCCTATCATGGGATATAACGCCATAATTCTCCGGGATGCCGGGAATGTGGTCGCACCAGGCAAGCCAGACACGAACCCCGGCGTGGAAAAGCTTTGGGTCACCGAAGGCTTGGCGTGATACATTTGAGCGTATTCCATCGGCGCCAATCAAAATATCGGCTGTGACACTGCCTCCGTTTCGGAACCGGACTTCAACGCAGTCTTGCTCTGGGACCTCGGAATAACATATGACTTCGTGGTCATTTGATATAACACCGGGAGGGAGAAGATCGAGCATTTTCTGGAAGACAGACGATCGCAGTACTCCATATTGCCAACCTTTGATTCCCATATGTCTCTCGATTTCTTCGTTGAATGGAAGCTCAGCTCGTTCTAAGCCTTTTTTGTTTTGAAACGAAGTGGTAGTGAAAGATCCCACATTCTCCATCTCCATCCCGTAATGGCGTAAAATGGCCAGCACAGGAATATTGAGAAGCACAGCACCCCCGATTGGCCTGCACTCTGCTTGCCGTTCGAAAATACGGACGTGATAACCACGCTGGATGAATGCGAGGGCTGTCGAGACGGCGGCAGGCCCACCACCTGCTATAGCCACCCTTTTACCCGGTTGCCAATTCTGCTGAGGCATCCGGAATATATTTGACCTAACACGCAAAGAAACAAGAGGCAAATGCCCGGTAGATGGCAGAAGAAAGGAGGTGGAGCGTTGAAAGGAAGAAACCGAAACGAAACATACGCTTGCTACATTTTAACATCCTCTGGATTTATGCAACGAGCAGATGCCGATGACAAAGTATTGTGTGGAGCCTAGACCTGTGCATATGGGACCCATGGGACTAAGGTCACTCCCATTTCCCATATGCCCCACTCCCATGGGAAATGTAATATGCCATGGGAGCCCCATTTGACCCATTATTTACATAAAATAGCCGATCTTTACCTCATGCGTATACATTAAATAATACATGTATGACATATAATTTTCTTTGTTCTTATTATACGTATTTTTACATGCTTTTATAAAGTTTCATCACCGTCTTTATTATACCTATTTTCAATATTCTTTATCAGAAATCAAACTGTTAACTTCTTTGATTAATTTCGCTGGTAGAAAGGTATAAAATCTAGAGGTTATTCTCTCCCTTTTTGCCCCAGAGTCTCTACAATATCAAGATATAATGCCTGAGCCAATTGCTAGTTGGGACCATATCCAAGAGCCTCTATTTGAATGGTGTCTACATTGTTTACGTCAGGCAATCAATAGCTTTGACCCTCACTAGTATCGCAGAAAGTATGTATTAATTGGCCAACCAGATCTCCAGGGCTACCTACCTGGGTAGTCACGACATCTTAACATGAGATGAGATTCAAGTTCGAATTAAATTTTTAAACTTAATCCCACGGTGCCATAATACCGAACTACAAACCCCCAAATGTTCGAAGTTTAAATAATATGTGGGGTAGAAGCTCGGCTCAATAGTAGTAGGTACTTACCTAGGTACATAGATACCTAGGTAGATACCTAGGTAGTGTAGTGGGCGTGAGAGGCCTATATTGATATTGCCGCCTGGGCGGTGAGCTCTCCGACAGTGATTCTCATGTTTATCTTCATGTTCTATAGAGAGCATGCTAGCTAAGATAGTACGAATATGATCCTTACACACCTCTCCTGACGTGCCCAATAGCTTCATTTACCATCCCAGACGTCTATATATCCTATGTAGCGAGTGGTGGTGGTGTTGGTTCTCCCTTTATATCGACCCGTGTAGCTAGACTACACAGCCTTGAGCGTAGCCCACTTTAGTAGGTATATGTAGGTGATGTTAATTCATTATTAGAGTGTCATCAATGGCACAGCTTGACGTATAGACTGATATGGACATGCTGCTGATAATTCTCCTCGAAGCCCGAGTGACATAATTAAATGCAAGAGCTTGCACAAAAGTATCAAAAAATTTAAGATAAAATTTTCATTGATCTGTGCATTGCCTTAGATACGAAGTTTCTGCTAAACTAACCCCAAATCAATTTGATGCGAAAGCCCCTCTCCGTAGTATTTACATCAACGCCACACAAGTGGCATGGCTTGAGGGTGTTCGAGATTACGAACGACTAGATTGCATTGGTTCAATTCCCTCTGATAACGAATCTATGGTTGCATGGTAGTTGGCCTGAGATCACTCCGTACTCAATGCGAGAATTTGCAAGATAAAATAGGTCGAGGGCTTTATAAATTGCACGAATGAAAAACACGCAGGCACACACTCCGCTCGGCGGCTTAGTACATCATGCTAACATTTTGAAGATGCAATCGTCAGTCAAGATGGCTTGATTGCCGCATATGTTTATGCCTACCTATGATGCCCCATTGAAACAGAGATGCAGTAGGCGAAAGCAGCTTGTACAATACGTTTCGTAAGCTTATCTATGGCCACTTCTGATTCAGACTTGGACCCGTCTTGTAGCATTTCAAGCCAGGACTCACAGTTGAGACACTGACAAGGTGGTATACAAGATTCGACGGTGCAAACCCAGATCCTGCTGGCTTTCTGATATTAATATTGACTGAGTCTGTATTACTCGGGGTTTAGTCGATGTTCTCTGAATTCTTGATTTGTATATAAAAATTTGTAGAGAAAAAAAAGAAAAAAGAAAAAAGAAAAAAAGAGAGCGAGAAAAAAAAAAAGAAAAAAAAGAGAAAAAAAAGGAAATCGAAAGTGGCATATTTGAGCTACTAGTAACATGGCTGAAAAGTTTTTGCGTACTAGCGTAAGACACTATGCTGAATTATTACTTTTGCAATTTAATTTGTTCGCTTCGTGACTCAAGTTTCACGTATTACGTAGCGGTTGCAGGGGTATATCCCATGGTGGCCGGAGAGCGAAATCCCGCAGACCGAACCGAGTCTGTTTGCCAACTAATGTACCTTTGTACCTTTGTACCTACTTTCTTTGTTCCTCCCACCCGGGCAATCCCCCCATCCCCCCATCATTCCCCCCATTTTCCTTCACTTTCAAGATTGTTACTTCCTGAATCCTTTCCATAATCTTTCTCAAACAAGTTACCCTCTTGAGAGTAAGAACCCATTTCGGAAATACTATATTCCCTTTGTAGCTAACAACGTACGATTGGATCACCAGTCGCCTTGGGGGCCATTTACTGAGAGATCTGAGGCAACCAGCCATGGCTTCATCGACTCAAACTCCAGGAAAGCGTCCATCACATGGTTGGCGGTTCTGGGCTGTGTTCCCTGGACTATGTTTTTCTATTCTTCTTGCTGGCCTTGATACTTCAATCGTCGCAACGGCCCTACCTACCATCTCTGCAGACCTCAACACCGGAGCCCTATATGTCTGGGCCATCAATGGCTACTTGCTCACAACAGCAGCAGTGCAGCCGTTGTTTGGCCAGGCATCGGACATTTTTGGACGTCGTCTTCCCATGCTTTTCTCTATCGCCCTATTCACCCTAGGAAGTGGACTTTGTGGTGATGCCAAAAACACGGCTATGCTCATTGCTGCCCGTATGATACAGGGGCTGGGAGGAGGCGGCCTCTTTGTTATGGTTGACATCATTGTTGCAGATCTGGTCCCGTTACGTGATCGGCAGCTTTACATGTCAATTGTTATGGGGACATTTGCGTTGGGAACATTCGTAGGACCCATCATCGGAGGTGTCATTATCACTAAAATATCCTGGCGATGGATCTTCTATATTAATCTACCCATTGGCGGCGTTGCCCTGGTTCTGGTTCTGCTCTTCCTAAGAGTCTACTACAAACGTGAAGGGACCCTGGCCGCTCGCCTGAAAAAGGTCGACTTCTCCGGAAATGCCCTCTTGATGGCTGCCGTAGTCCCTGTACTTATCGCCCTGACGTGGGGTGGCACGACATACACCTGGGACTCATGGCATGTTCTTGTCCCACTGCTTATTGGTGTTGCTGGCTTGGCCGCTTTCTTCGTTCACCAGAAGTTTTATACACCAGAGCCGACCATGCCGATACGCCTCTACAGCAACAGCACTTCTATGTTGTCGTACCTTCTCACATTCCTGCACGGTATTGAGATGACTTGGCTGAGTTATTTTCTACCTGTGTATTTTCAGGTTCTTATTGAAGCCAGTCCTCTTAGATCCGGAGTCGATCTGCTCGCCATTGTTATTCCCTTAATGCCTGCTGGAATTGCCGGAGGTCTGATTATTGCCAAGTTCGGTCGCTATAAGCCGACAATGGTAGCTGGCTATGCGCTGCTTTCTATCGGTGCAGGTTGTTTGACAACCCTGGATGCAAACTCTTCAACAGCGGTATGGGTTATTCTTCAAATCATTTCTGGCATTGGAGGTGGATTAGCCTTGACAGCGACGCTTCCTGCAGTACAGGCGCCATTACCGGAATCAGACGTTGCAATTGCCACAGCATGCTGGGCTTTTGTGCGTAGTTTTGGCTCTATCTGGGGTGCTGCTATCCCCTCAGCTGTTTTCAACTCGAAGATTGACTCTTTGCTTCATAAAATAAGTAATCCAGAAGTCCGTGCACTTCTAAAGCGCGGCGGCGCGTATGAGCATGCGACTGCTTCTTTCATGAAGTCATTTAACGGCGACCTTACAACAAAGAACGAGCTTATCGAAATCTACACTGCAGGCCTCAAACAAGCATGGCAGGTTCTCATTGCCTTTACGGTTATTGCCGTACCCCTTGCTTTGGCCATCAAAGAAATACCCCTCCGGAAAGAACTGGTAACTGAATTTGGACTCAAGGATGAAGATGAAAAAGATAATGCTGCTGCTGATGATAACACTGAGCTTGCAGCAAGGGCGACCGGAGTGGACCCGAGTCCAGCGAGGTGATGTGGAGGAAGTGCGAGTCTTTTTTCTTTCATTTCTCTCCTTAGATTCTTTCTATCTGTTTATTGCCTTGTCACTAAGTTCCCCTCTATATATGTACAATACCTACATTTCCACTCCAAAAAAGAACCTTTCCTTATTGTTTAGAGAACTGCATTCTTATAACGGGTCACACGATATCCAATTTTGAATTAATTGGACAGGGCTAACATCATCTCCGCCTGGCATCGATTTGTAGCACTGCCTATTCACCTAGGGGCCAGAAGGTACCTTTGCAAGATGAAGTCTCAATTCTTGCTATGATAGGCGAGGGCAAATATCGTGATATGAATTCAAGTTAGCGTATCAGCCATTGTCATTCTAGCGATATATCATATGCTGATTTTACATATGATACTACCTACACTAACGTATTTCACTACCGAGCCGCCATCACCACCAAGCCGCCACCCACTGTCTACCCTACTATTTTAAATGCAGTTTTCACCACCATAACGCCATTTTATTAAGGAAAACTAATTATCAGGGTACCAAGTACGGATATGCTTTAACTATGAACATTTACCATATTATAGATTCTTTCGTGATGACTACTAACCTAATAAAACAAGCGCAATTAAATAAATCTAAGGGAGTGGTAGTTATATTTCAATCACTTCATTAAAAGACTATATAACCTTTTGGCTCTCTTAAATAATTACTCCACCTTCGTTTAGTATCTATTATATTAATTATCAGTGTTTTTACTTTTATTTTTCATTTTCAGCGTATAGTCAAGTATTTTCTTTAGCTAATAAGATAGTAAACTAGGGTCTGTAAGTTAGCCTCTTTACTACACTTCTTTACTATATTTCTTTACTATAATTATTCACCACAATTATTTACCACAATTATTCACTACACCTCTTTACTATACTTCTTTACTATAATTATTTACTATACCTCTTCACTATACTTCTTTACTACACTCCTTCACTATACTCCTTTATTACAATCCTTTATTACAATTATTTACTATAATCATTTACTACACCTCTTCACTACAATTATTCACTATAATTATTCACTATACCTTTTTACTACACTTCTTTACTATACTCCTTTACTATAATTATATACTATAAATTTGTTTATCTATCTTATTCTTACACTCTCCCTCTTCTCTATACTTACTAATCCCCCTTCCTATCACTTATCTCTCTATATCCAGCTGTTATACTATTTAATCTACTATAATAGATCCTCTTTCTGAGTATAAACTCTCTACTGAGGCTACCTAGCAACCCTATAATCCAGCCTAGGTCCTCCCTAGTAGTAACCAATTCCTTTATCTTCTCTCTTATTTCTATAATAACAACTAGGCTTCCGCAGAACCCAGTACTGGGTCAAAACCTTCGACCCAGAACCCAGTCCAGCACTGGGTTGGGTCGAAACTTCATAACCCGGACCCAACCCGGACCCAGTACTGGGGCCCCAGTATACCCAACAATAACCCAGTTGAACCCAACTTTGGCATAAATTTTAACACAAAGCTACTTAGTCATCTCAATAGAATACCGTTTTTTCCTACGTTTTACTTCATACCCCAGAATTTAACTGTTCTTACCGAGATGCCCCTTGAAGTCCTAAGAAATCTCTATGTAAATAGCAAGAATCTATCTGTTTTACTACCAAAAGTTTTCGAGATACTATATTCACGTGAAATATCGTACATGAGACGTTGTGGAAGATCTACGACCCTAAAGTTGTTAAAATATATTTTCAACACTAGCATACTGTGAAGGGCTGTAGCAGAATTGATTCAATTGTACTAGGCCGATATGCTGTCTACATCAATCTTGAGGAGAAGGAACGTTTCCGTGCACGTTCGGATATAAACGTGGGCGATCGGTCACGTGTCTCCGTCACTAATATGGGGCTTCGGCCCGTTACACATACGTGGTATGTATTTTCTCATATATGTTAAGAGTGAAAAAAAGATAACCATTTTTCTATTTTTGAGAGTTTATTCAGTAATAAAGTAGACTTTTATTTACATCTTGATCATAGAAGAGACATTTAGAGTATAATGCATCTTAAAATGCCGAGTCTTGTCCTTTGGAGACCCTATGGGATGAAATATTTTGAGGGTTTTTAAATGAAATTGGGGTGGGAATTGGGCTTCTACTGGGTTATCGCTGGGTTACTGGGTTTTTAGTGGGGTTTAATTGGGTTATTGCTGGGTTACTGGGTCAGACCCATATATTATAAGCCTAGTAGACCAATCAGAGGAGTATAGCCATCTAGCCAGATATAGTCTATTTGATCTATCAACTACTGAATTTGCCAACAACCTTTACAGAATATTCATAATCTCTGATTCCTCCCTTACTTGACTATTCATCCTACTTATAGTCTATTATTATGTCTCAAAGCCAGTTTTCAGACTTTGCATCATCATTATATGGGGAACTTGATGATTCACAAGTGCTTACTCCATCCACAAGTACACAGACCCAAGAATCCTGGGCATCCATTTTCCTCCGACCGGGTGATTTGCCTTCTACACCGGCTCTTTCTTCCATTACACGCGTTGGCCCCGGTAGTAGGAAGAGATTTCTTCTTTACAATCAGGTGGTTCATTCGGAGTGGGTAGACTGGTGGCTAGCGACTGAATATGGCATAAAAAGCAAGATCAATTGGGACTCGAGAGCCGAGACGCCATACAGAGGTATGGGATAGCTACCATCAGGTCGCTCAAATTGCCGATGGGGCACCAAAGGTTATGTGCAAACGTTGTGGCAAGATCCTAGAGTATCCTTATTCTACTAGCCTAGGTAGTACAGGTAGCAGACTGCAGTACTATGGCACATCAACAATCATGAAGCATCTTAAGACTGCTGGATGTCTACGCTTGGATACCAATAGGAATTCCGGGATCAAAAGGTTTCTACAGACTGAGGTAAATTATAACCCCTAGCTCTGTCAACCCATAGTCTTACTGATTCATAGCAATTTGAATTTGTAGGTAGAAAATTCAGCCAGTACGCCATTTTCATCCCAAGAATGGGAAGAAGATATTCTCCAATTCCTTACCCTTAATCGCTTGCCATTCAATATAGTCGAACATGTGTCATTCAAACGTCTATTCTACAAAGCTCGCTCTGCCCCAGCTACTTTACAATTCCCCTCCGCCGATACTATGCGTCGCCGACTCGGGGGCATAGTCAAAGATCGACAGCAGTGTATCCTTCGTACGCTCCCCCCTCACTCTAAGATATCTATTGCGCTTGACTTCTGGACGTCTCCTTTCTCGCAGGCATTTATGGCCATTACTGGCTATTTCATTGATGCTGATTGGGTTTATCGAGAGGTGTTTCTTGGGTTTAAACCGGTTTCTGGCTCACATACCGGTGATAAACTAAGTGGTATTCTGTTAGAAACACTTGTAGAGCATGAAATTATAGATAGGGTCTTTGGATTAACGACAGATAATGCGTCGAATAATAAGACACTGGCTACTGCTCTTCAGCAAGCGTTACAAGACAGAGCTTTCATCACCCGGATCCCATGCCTTGCCCACGTTATTCAGCTTAGTTTGAACCAGCTTCTTTCTCAGATCAAGGCCAGTCCAACAAATGACTCGACTGAGACAAAGTGGACGGAGAAGCAGTCAAACCTCGCCCGGGAAAATGCGAAGCAACGGTCTGATTCATATCACATCTCTTCTACAATAAACAAGATCCGTTATCTTGCAGTTTATATTAACGCAAGTCCCCAGCGCCGAGAGACATTCTGTGGACTTCAGGTAACCGATGTTAAGATTGTTCCAATCCAAGACGTACGGACCAGGTGGAATTCAACATACTTGATGCTTCGCCAGGCAAAGCGACTACGCAGAATCTTTACTCTATTTTGCACAGAGTATGAATGTGGGGAGATGCTTCCTAGCGATCAAGAATGGCGCCAGATCGACTATTTGCTGTTCATCACCGAGCCGTTCTTTGATTATACAACACAGCTTCCAAAGACTCGAGACATCACAGCCCATTATATGTTTATAATTTATAATAAGCTGTTTACTCATCTTGAACAATAAATAAAGCAGCTCCGACGAAAGCGGGTTATATAGAAGGTACAGATGCTTAATGCACTTGAAGCTGGGCGGATAAAGCTTGATGAGTATTACTCTCAGACTGATAGTATCCGAGGGCATATCTATGCCATTAGTACTATGCTTGCGCCGGTAAACAAGTTCCAATTCTTCCATACCAACGACTGGTATCTGCATTGGCGAGATATTTATCGATCTTCATTTCGCGAAGCCCTTGCTCCATACCAAGCACTGCTTAAAAGTGATATCCAGGCTTCAGGAAGGTCCATAGCTTTAGCTGGACTATTCTCGATACTTGATTCAATGCTTACTGGGCCTGGACGTGGTGGAGATTCAGCACAGCTTCCAGTTTCTGATGAAATAAGCCAATACCTTGATAGTGGTAAGTAAGCCCATTAATTGCACCTATTTAGTAACCCGATACTAATTAAATAGATACTATTCCTATGAGCCCCCTCACTTTCTGGAAAGAGCACCAGTCTCGCTTCCCAGCTATTGCTGCTCTTGCGCGAGATGCCCTCTCGTTCCCAGCAACTGGCGCAGGGGTTGAACGTCTATTCAATATCGCTCGGGATATCTGCCACTACCGTCGTGGTAGAATGAAGTCGAAGACTATTGAAGATTTGATGATGTTTCTTTGTACGACCAGATTTGATATGGAGGAGCAAGAGGCGAAGCTTCTTAGGGAGTTCTTTACGTGGGACGAGGTCGAGACGGCGAAAGAAGAGAAGGATGGGAAGATTGATCTGATTGAGGTTGATCTAATAAGTGATACGGAAGAGCAGGAAGATGAGATAGATAATCAGGATAAGCACCGAGACATTGTAGAGATAGACGATATATCTGTCAATGCTGGTAACCATGATGCCGGGCCTAATCCGTCATTACCACCAAACCAGACGCAAGTTCGGGCCTCAGGACGAAAGCGGAAAAGCAGAGAAGATGATGTCTTTGAATACCACTAGAAGTGAATATAGATATGAATTCAATCTGAAGATATCCTGAATCCTATATTCACTGTGCTGAACGTAAGTCAAATACTCAAATTTACAGCTGGAAAACGTATAATTTATGCAATCAGAGATCTTGGTATGTTTGTAACGTTTGAGACCCAGTTTGGGGCCCCAACCCAGTGCTGGGCTGAAGGGCTCGACCCAGCACCCAGCACTGGGTCGGACATGTTGACCCAGAGCCCAACCCAGCCCGGGTTGGGTCCGGGTCCAGTTGGGTTTTGCGGAAGTCTAATTCAGGGTGAAAACGCCTGAACAGCCTGAAGATAAGGCGGCAAGAGAAATTTCCCCAACGAATCCAAAAAATTGGGTGAGCACAAACATACAACAGTCAGGATTCGCATGTGGTCACCCACCATACTACTAACTGACCGGCGTGTGGCTTAAATGCGGCCAGTAGTTGGGTGGGTGCCGCTAGGGTGAGAAATGGGTGAGAGCCGCTTTAGCGTCGCGCGACCGGGGGTGAGAAGGGTGAGTGCGCAATAGACAGGGTGAGAAGCAAGGTGAGAGCGGGTGAGAGATCACCTCCGTCGCCTGACAGCTGCATTGACCTTTCCAGCTGAGCATCAATAGAACCTCATTGGGCCACGATTGCCCATCTGAAACAGCCAGCCTCTTGGCATCTGCCCACAGCCCCCTCGGTGGACTGATTCTTGAATATAAAGATGAGGCCTATCCTCTTCTATACAGTACAGTAGACTTTCGAACATTCAACGTGGTATACGTAATGACTGCCATTTAACGGTGGGAATCAGAACGGCGATCCTTGATCATACTAGCGCTTGAAATATACGTCTTTGACTTGTTTCCTCTCCACCCTTTCAGTCCCAGTATCTTAACCTTGCAACCATTTAGGTGGCTTCGCGGACTTCACCACTGTGCTGACGATTGCGTAGCAAGAGCCCATGGTCATACAAATTAAGGGATAGGAAGGCATTTTCAGAGCCCCAAAATAAGGAAAACGCATTCTCGTCAATATTCTTTGCGAATTCGATCATCGTGGCTTTGAACTCACTCCAATCTTTAATGTCTTGACAGCGACCTCGGCCAAGGTTTGGTACTCCTAGGATGTACATTTTATGAGGGTAGAGGCTTCAGCGGCGCTGCTCCCTTTTATTAACGGACTGAGTCTAGACATTGAGAACCTTTCCGGTCTCTTTCAACTCAAAGGGATAGATAGTACTTGTGTATACTATAGCCCATTCATTGGTTGCCCGGCGCTTAAAGCTTTCCGGTGATCAAAATGTCTAATTCAGCGCAAACTCTCCCGCCTCATACACACGGGAGGTATTTGGTTCCTCGACATCATCATCATAAACGATAATTATCTTGCCCTCCTCGATGGCATCTTCCTTATCGGAGCCTGGCTCTACTTCATCGTCATCGTGTCCGAAAGTCAGATGATGACCTTTACTTCGCTTAGCCTGGCCAAAAGCTAGTGTCTTTTTCACAAAATGCGGAGCATTTCTAATGAACTCCCGTTTCACTTTGACCTCGCAGTAAGCGATTGCAAATATTTCCTCTCCGATATATGCATCGTGCACTGTGCGCGGGTTCCGTGTTTATTTCTAAGTCTCAATCCAGCGTCCAATCTAGCTTGAGACCCTATTCCTATGCCTATGATGTCACCGACCGGCACACTGATTCTACCCCCTTCAGAGTGCTCTCGGTTTCGCTTGTGCTGCCACACGGCACCGGTGACTGTGAGGAAGCCAACGACAAGGTAAGCCTTTCCAAGCCGGGCCTTCTGCAAGAGGTTGAAGACATCCCGGGCATAAAGCGGATTAGCAACCAACCGGTCGAATTGGTTTGCTGGATTAGAGAGTGTAAATCTTTTGACCGACTCGCTATGCAGGGAGACACTTTGCTGATCCTCACGAGAGAGATCCAATCCCAGATAAGTGGTTAGGGTTGACACAATGGCCGAGCGGTGCACGCTTGTGACAAAATCCTGCCTGGATGTGGAGATGAAAGGCTCGGGGAGAATATCAGGAATTATATCGTTTGTGTGATGGCTAGGTTCTTCGGTCGACGAGGGCTCGGAGGGGGCAAAGTGGTGGAGTGGCAGCAGTTTATCTACCACCACTCGGCACATCATCCGACTGATCTCTTTGGCCGGGATCGTTTCATCAAGAAGAAAATAGCGATTCTTCATGATGATGAGAGCGCTATTGATTCTTATGTGGTAGAAGGTTGCAAGACTGTTGAGATGGAAAAGAAGAGAGCTGAGTGGAAGGACGTGGCTGTAAATACGAGCCAAGGAAGTCCTGAAGCAAGGCACACGCCATAGCGCTTATCGATTGGTAGCAAAGATCTTTGATGCCTATTTCACGTATCAGCTAAAATTAGTGCTTCTCCAGGGAATGAGACGTATCAACTCGAATTTGGGAGGATGCTGGGTCTTCGCCAGCATCCCCACGAACGTGAACCGTAAACCATCACACGATGAAAATAATGAGCAAGCAAATCCAAGTGAAGATTCAGGCTTCCGATAAAGATTTACCATGTGATTCGAAAGGCAAGCTATGCTGGTGCGTCGATATCTCCGTTGCAGGTATCATTGTTGCTTGTGATGTTGAGGTTTCAGATCCTTTGACGTCGGAGCAGCAAGACCAAAGCCGTTGGTACTTGGAGCAATTTCTTCAGCAAAACCCGTATGAGAACATCAAATCTTCAAAGCACGATGGTTATTGTCTGTGTACTCTACCAGCATTCTGGAGCAGCTGCAGCTCAAAGCCTTCGTTGAAACGCGAATCAAGCCGGAAACAAGTACAGGGGCGATCTTGAATTTGTCAATCGACGTGGTCGACGCTGCAGAAAGTTCTCACACAATTCATCAGCTTTTCTGGGAACTTTTGGAAGATCTCCAGCTTTTCAATGGTGAATTTCAAATCGTCACTGTTGTCAGATCTCTTAGAGTTAGATCCCTACATTATTCAATGTGACAATCCGATAGCATTGCGGCCGAGAAACCGAGCTATGTCCGCCTTCCATCACTCACATGTGCATTTGAAGAATCCGTTCAGTAAAATTATGTTATTATCTTTAAGGTCTCACTTTGGGGTCGGAAGACGAATGGGACTGAGAATTGTATTCGCGTCGGGCGGAGCATTTATCCGAATATATGAAATTCTCCTATTCACAACAAAATTCGCGTCGAGCATATGTGTTATCAGGAGTGAAGGGTATCCGCTGCATTAACTCCAATTTTCGAAGGTTAAGGGTTTGTAGGGTTCTTTTAATTGTACTTTCTGAGATCGTGCCGGTGGATGCAGGGAGATTTGCGCGAATCGTAAAATACGTCCAACGAGGGTTCTGTCGCGTTAAACGATAAATGTATATAGTGGCGAGTACGGGTATTGAACTTTTTAGGTTTGCCTTTCCGTGGTTCCAGATATCTGATTGAACGCGACCGGTGGTTTGGAAGCGTCAACCTTTTGGGTATTAGAGATCGTAAGTAGTGTAGTCCTGGTCCGTGACAAAAACCCGGTTAAGCTCCGATGCCTGTTGAAGGTTATGCCAGATAGGTACTATGCCTAATTCGGTCGCTACAGGATCTTTAGTGCCACCTCCCTAACCTAGATAATTACATTTGAATAAGCTAATTTTTCCTTCTCCTTTCATTGTCTACGTATTCCTTCTAAATACCCCTTCGAATTAGTATAAGCTCAGTCAAGATGAAAACCGAGTATGACTTGTGCCAGAAGCAGTGCGATGGGTTGGAAAAGATACTCCGCTCCCTCTTTCCTTGGGAAAACTTTAACGATATTGTCGACTAACGTCTAGCTGGCATAGAGACCTCTGATCTTGGAGTATAGCTATATTATCTCGATATCGAAACTGGTGATATAACCCCTCCTGATATACCCTACTTTCTTCCAAGAAAGGATTTCCCAGACATCCCCGACGCTTGCAAAAGTTTGCTCTAACGGGATTGTGTTCTTTGGTTGTTGAACAAAGACTTTGAGTATTAAAAGACCGATTCATGGATAAAGGAAAGCTTGGAGACCTATATATGTCTTGCTATTATGTCGTACTTATTTGATCGGGATGATGATATACGTAGTAAATTTATTTGCTCTAAGTATGTTATTTCCCTGTAGAGTCTCTGGAGGTGTGAAGATTACTTACTTTCTCGCCTTTGTATAGGAACCTCCTAAGCCGATACGATTGGATTTATGACCGGTAAGCTTACAATCCAGCATACTTTAATCTAACTTTACTTCCAAGTTCCCTAACTTTTGATCTGTAAAAGAGATACTGTGCACAGGGAGTCGCAGAATTCCCAATCCATCTAATGTTATTTGACGCTTCTCATCTGTTGGAATATTGGATGATGTAAGCTAACTAGATCACATGACCTTAATCAGTACTTATATAAAGTGTGAGCGGGAAGATAGAAAAATAGACAGATATATGTATACATACGACCGGAACCTACTGGTTAATGATCCACCGCCCTGATTATGTATTTCTGAGATTATTACCCTTGAATACGGCTGAGATTGTTGATTAAGGCCTTAAGCTGCTGAATATATATAGAGGTTTGTAGTCTTCTTTTTAGTTATGAACCATAATAATACATCCTGTAGACTACCTAGAGCTGCTTACGATACGATAACGTCGCCTATTTTGTGTATTGTCGATCGTATCGTCTTATCAAATTGGGCGACGATAATTATTGTTGATATTATTGTTAGTTAAACGATAATTATTAATAACTAAGTATATTAAATGTAATAAAGGTGGGCATAAAAAAGTATTAAAAGTACTATATTTTTATAGATAATATAGAGGTGTATTATACTACCTTAATCCTTAATCCCCGTATCAAAGGTAATATTATATTTTATAAGATGTAATGAACCGATGCCGAGTTGATGCTAATATTGAGGTTGCGAGGTTGCGGGATCACATAATGGATTATATAATCCTATATCTATCTGATTCTCTTGTATAATAACGTATAAGAACCTAACTCCCCTCTTTCCTTTTTCTTTATTTTTGATACTTTAATTAAATTGTACGAAAGTTCTTCTATTTTCTGGTTCTTATATTGTATTAAAGATTATTTTCTATTACTTGAAGCTGTATAGATCTGTATCTATTTAGAAGTATATCTTAGCTAATTAGATTATATCTTATCTATCTTATATTCCTTAAATAAATAAATTACTATAGTTTGTGAAACCCCTACTATTGATAAGATACTAATATATAGAACTAAATCTGAAGAACCTACTAATAGTAATGATAGTTATAGATAACCTAACAGTATAGAGAAGCTTAATCTTCTAAGTCTAAAAAAGGATTGGAGATTATTTATCTTTATCTATCTAGATCTCCCTAAACTAGACCTAGAGAATAGTTTTATTAAGTTTAGCTAATCTAAGGATCTATAGGAGTACCTATAAGAGGATCTATATTAATATAGATATTTATTTAATATCTAGGAAGATATAATAGATAAACTAAATATAGTTTATAAGAGAATTAATACCTATAAGTAGAATTATATAGATATTACTTAGCTCTAGGATCTTTTAAAGTAGTATCTCTAGTAGCTTTAAGAAACTAAATAAGAGAGAGATAAACTTTGATAGGCTCTTAATAATATATATAATATTTCCTAACTAAAGATATTAATATCTAAGAGAACTAAAGTAAGGATCTATAAGTTTATTGACTTCTTATCGTTTACTAATAGAAGTAAGACTAATATAAAGTTCTATAGTTAGTATACTACTATAGAATTAAAGCTGTATATAAATATAGATCATTTCTTAACCCTTAATCTATATAAGATTTATATAATAAGTTAGTTAACTAGAGCTATATATAATTAGATTATATCTTTTCTAAATAATAATAATAATAATACTCTTAATAATAGTAATAATATCTTAGACTACCTAGAGTAGATCTATAGAGACCTAGTCTATTAGGACTATACTAAATTTAACTTTAAGAAGCTTTATATAAAGGAAACAAAGAAATTTATAGTCTTCCTTACTAAATTTATCTAACTAACTAATAATACTATTATTCCTTATAAGAAATATATAAAACTTCTCTATTAGAAGTTAATCCTTAAGTTATAATATAAGCTTGTTAGAAAGGTCTTGAAGATTAGTATTACCTTCTTAGACTATATAGAGAAGACTTATTATATTATATCTATCCTAGAGATTATAGATATTAATACCTAGTAGATAAAGGTTATAAAAATTACTATAGCTATAGCTATTATTACTAATATTATTAATAATACTAGTAGGATATAGAATATATAAAATATAAAGCCTATTGTAGATCTTCTTAACTAGTCCTTTTTAACTATCTTATACCTAAAGTTAGATATAGCCGAACTCTAGAGATAGCGAAAAGAAGGATATTATTATAAATATAATAAATAAGACTATTATAATAAGAATTATTCTATTTATATAACTTATTTTATAACTAAGGCTATAACTAGAAAAACCCTTATTATAGCTAAAGTAGTAGAGCTAAAAGTGAATACTAAGATAAGAAAAGATTAGGCTTATTATTAGTCTTCTTAATAAATAGAGAGATATTAATCCCTAAGTTAAATATAGAAGATATATCTATAGGTAAGAAATTTATACTTAAAATAAAGATAGTCTTTAATAAATATTATTATTCTATATTAGTATTAGGTAATACTAGAGCTACTAGATTTATATATATAAATATAGTATTTATTATATCTTTGGAAAAGTTTAGATTAAAGAACTATTATCTTTTAGTTCTAATAATCCTAAAGGGTTTTAATAGATATAAAGATAAGCCTATTATCTATAAAGTATGATTAAATTTAATAATAGATAGATAGAAGATAACCAGGTTGTCTTTCTTGATTGTAGATCTAGGTTAATATTATATGATCCTAGGTTAGGACTAGTTTATATAATACTATATTCTAATAGACTATTATAATAATAGGCTTATTTAGCTAAATAATATTATTCCTATACTTAAAGAGCCTATATCTTAGGAAGAGTCTCTAGAGTCCTAATTAAGATATAGCTATTTAGCTAGATAATAGTATAAATACTAAGAATTGTAAATAAAGATAGATAGGGCTTTAACTAGTACTAAATTACTCCTAAAGTAGCTTAAGGAGATATTATTCTATCTTTTTTCTTCCCCTAAGATTATAATAATTAGAGTAATAGGATTCTATTAATATATAAAGAAAGAAGGTATAGAGATCTTTATAACTTTACTTTATAAGATTAATTATATTATTAAAGAGATGTCTCTATAAGAAGAGGTTATAGAGATTAAGAAAAAAATATTAATAGTATACTACTACTTAGTATAAGTATTTTCTAAGTTAGAGTTAAATAGTATACTACTATAGTAGGGTAGTACTAATTATATTATTTAGATAGATAGTATTTTTAATCTAGAATACTACTTTCTCTATAAGTAATCCTTTAAAGAGCTGAAAGTCTATAAGAAGTATATTACTAAGAAGCTTTATTTTGGCTTTATTAAGTTAAGCTTTGTACTCTTTATATTACTTATTCTAATAGTTAGGATATTTAGTAGGAAGATATACTTCTATATTAATTACTAGAGGCTAAATACTATTACTAGGAAGAATAAATATCTTATCCTATTAATTAATAAGCTATTATAGTAAGTAGTAGATATAAAGATCTTTACAAAACTAGATATCTAATAGGGATTCTACTATATCTAGATATATATAGACTTAGAGGATTTAATAACCTTTTGGATGTGATATAGGATATTTA